ATACAATTCATAACACCTTTATCTTAATGCAGATTGTATTGGCAATTGCAAAGTTAGGGAAAAAGTGGAGAACAAACTTAATTACTGCTACCAATACAGCTTTCCATCCATTCTAGGACTGTTTTTCCCAATCTCTGTCACCCAAAGAAACATTTGTAAATGTTTAAATGTTTAGTGGCACACCTGAATGGACAGGCACCTCTACTTCCACAGAATAAAATTGGCAGTATATGTATGTAGGGCATGCTGTTGAATGTTAGGTTGAAAGGACCCCAAGTTCAGGTCAGAAACAAGGGACAGAGAACAGAAGCCTATTTGAAATCAAGCTTTTCCTCCTCTGGGAACCACATGGATCCTAGCAACACTGAACAAAGGGCTATAGACAAAGTGATAGAGGATTCTGGATCATAAACCATTTACTTCTTGACTACATACATTCAGATACTTCACTGTCCTGCATTAGCACTGTATACCATGCCCAAACATTATGCTCCTAACCAAGCAAATTGTAAATACTGGTATTTTCTCTTACAGGAGGATTTTAGATTACATAAGTTTGTTATCAGATCATTTGGTCTCTGTAAGAGGAAAATCCAGAGACTGGAGACGCTGTTCTTTTCATCAGCTAAAGGAGTCTGACCTGCAGAAAAGAGGCTGAGACAAAGCCCAAGGTCAGTCTGTCAGAGCTCTGCAGGGAGACAAGAACCCTAGGAGGACAAGTCTCACAAAGGACACTTTGCTAACCCACTTAGGTTAAACCAACGCCCTAGTGTGCATTCAGGTGAACCCCACATGGAGAACGGAGTGGTAGGATATTGTCACATTACTCAGAATCCCTCCATCACCCACACTCTAATCATATGATAGTTTTAGAAGCCTATAGGATTTATAAGGAAAATGAAAAAGCTGGGAGATTTGACTTTTGAAAAGATGTCTGCCTATGGCCATGGAGAAGAGGAAGATGAAAAAAGACAAATGGTAGAAACAACTACAGACCTCCAATGCCCACAGAAGACTCTTAGCAGACTTTTATTTCATGAAAAATGGAGAGAGAAGCATATGTTTATCCTTGGAAAACAGGGAATATGAAAAGTGGACTAGTAGCCTGCACAGGGAGATAATTGGGTTTAAATTAATTTTCTCAACACCATTTATCTGGTTTTCTTCCTTGTTATCATGATCCAATAAAATGGTTGAGAAACACTTTACTAGTCTTTTCTCTACCCTGTTCAGTGATTAACATATTTTTTGATAGACCTGAAACACAAACATTAGTGCAACACCACCTTGGTACCAAAATTTCACTTATCAAAAAGTGAACAACTGTGAACTCTCCTGAACTATCATATATCTAGTATCAACATGTTACATGTCATATTTTGATGATGCAGGACTCTAAGTCAAGACACCCAGCTTAAGTCTGGAGTTGCTTTGCAAACACACTGTCTCATGTTCCCCTTTGCACAGAAGTCAAAAACTTAATGGTAAATGAAAATGCAGCACCCCCTGGGTGCCTCCACTAGCACCCAGATCCCATGGCCCAACAGCAAGGGAGTTTCCAAAATCCATAAAAATTGAGTGACAGACACACAGAAAGCCAAGCAGGTACCTCTAAGAACAGCCATTTGAGACACATTCTGTGACTCAGCCCTGTCTTTACCTTCTTTTTAGGGCTTTGTGTTCCTGTTGGGAAAGAGAAACTTAGTGCTAAAGGATACAATGAAAAGAAGACATTCTCACATCTTCACCAACCCAATGAGGTTTGGTGAATGATAAAGACATACTCCTCCTAGAGTTTCCTTCTCAACTGTCATGGAGTCAGCAGATTTTATGGGAGGAAGGATGAGGAAATGGATAGGCTCACTACCTAAAACGATTTTGGCACTGCTTTAGGATCTGCAAGTTGGAGCAGGTTGTCCTGCACTTAAAGAGGAGGGATTAACTAAACCAACTTCACCTAAATCAACTTGCACTGTTCAGATGATACATTTGTGAAGCAATCAAGTCGATCTGATTTGCGGCAGTACTTCCTAGGGGATGGCCATGCAAGGCACAACATGCTAGATGAGAAGTCTAGTAGCCAGGAAAGTAAACAATAGAGAAACAATCATCCCTTCATGTCCCTAGCCTCTACCCCTGCTCCTCACAGCCCTTGCCTGTCCTAATCCTGGAGCTGCAAGTAAGGAGTTAGGCTTCAAACAAGGAGGCCAAAATACTAGGCCAAGGCTGGGCCTCAGCCCAGTCAGCAGAAATATCTGCACATTGTAGGCACTTACTAAATAAACATTATTCACTCACCACTGCTAGATACTGATCATACTTACATAGCCATGCCTAAAATTATTTATGCCACTTTTTAATAGAAATTAACTAATTGCCCCCTTAAAGGCTAAAAATGGGTGAGGTTTTCAAATGAGCCTGACTCCAATTGTTAGGTTGGAGTACATTAGATATGATTTAATCTTCGACTTAAAATAATCATCGTTCTTCTGTATATCTAGTTTTATGTATGTTTCGTTTAATTGTATGTTCATTGCAGCGGGGGGCGGGGGGAGCAGACTTTGGACCTAAGTACTGTGAAAGATTTGGCTCCAGGGGGACTAATAATGGCAAATTAAGGTTTCCAGAATCTAAGTTTTCTACTTACACCCAGTCAATCTATTATTACCAATAAAAAAGTAAATGAAACACTTTCTTTGAAAAATGTAATGCTAAAAACTTATAGAACCCTTTTATCTTTGAAAGACCAAAACAATGCTCACAATACTTAGTACACAGTATTATGCCTTTTACACAAGTGCATAAACTATGAAAGAAAGGTCATAGGAATGTCCTAAGACCATAAAGTCTCATACGTGCGTGAGTGTGTGTGTATGTATGTGAGAGAGAGAGAGAGAGAGAGAGAGAGAGAAGAGAGAAGAGAGAAGAGGGAAGAGAGAAACATCAGATTTAGGATGAGCTCTCTGATCATCTTGGCCCTTGACCTGTATTTCAACCACATAAATCAAGCTGTGGGGAACAATCAGGAAAAACTAATTCACATTACATATCTGTATTAAGTTAATTGATTTGGCAGAAATATATAAAAATAGCATAATGTTTCTCCATCAGGGCAAGATGAGTGGAGAGGGTTGGGGGCAATGTGAAGGTTAGAGGTAGAGCGGGAAGTAGGTGAGGAACTCTCTCTCTTCGGCATTTCCCTTCTATTGGAGCCTGGCCAGATAACTGATTACAGCACTGGGAGGGAAGAGAAGAGGTTTAAAGGCAACCCCTACGGCCCAACCTGAGAGTCAGAAGAATCACACTGTACTTATCTGTTTACATAGTCTCCAATATATTCTTTTATAAGAGCTCCTCAGAAATATACAAACCATCACTTACCGCCCGCACCACACTCAGAAATCCTGAAAAAGGAAAAGTGGCTGAGAAGCAAGAGACTACGTGGCTGGGAAGCTGGGAATAAACAGGTTGATGGAGGGAAGCTATGCAGGAAGGGCAGGTTCTGGTAGGAGATTTGGGTGGGCAGATAGTATGATATTGCAGGAGGAAAGTGAATGAGTGTGAAGGCGGGTGGGGAGTGTGGAAGAGGCGGGTGGGAGTGAAGAACCCAGGGACTCCAGGATACAAATTTCCTACTCTGAGAAACACCTCCAAGAAATAAAGTGCTGCACACAAAGTGGTAAGTAACCTAAACCTTATCATCACCAAAGATGTTTCTATAAACCTACTCTGCCACTACTTACTTAATTCTTATGAACCAGAAATGGAAAACCCCCACCTCTCCGCGATTCAGTCGCAGTCTATCCAGTGGACATAAGTTTCCCTCTCTCTCCCACTGAGCTGGTTTCAGAACAAGGCCAGAAATAAGGAATCACCCAGACAGAGAATAAAGGATCGCTCCCCTGGCAGAAAAGGATGGAGTTTCACCAGGCCTCCCTGCTGGCAGGGTGTCTGCAGCATCCCTGGCTGCCACAGCAGCCACCGCGGAGGGCACCGCCTGGGCCGAGGAGGCTGCCGGCCGCCTGAGCGTGGGAAGGCGCTCCTGGGAAAGAGTGGCTAGACTGGCAAAGCCGGGCCCTGCCAGGCTGTGCCGGAGGCCTAGGATCGTTCCTGCCCGCACCTCAGAGTGCAGACTCCGTCCCAGGAGGGCAGCAGTGACAGGCGCCTGGGCTCCAAAAGCTCAACAGGGTGCCAAGGCCGGGCCGGGGCTCCTGCGGCCGCCTCGAGCTTCGCGGGGCCCCGTCACCCTGCCCCGCCGAGCCCGGGAGCCCTCGGCCCGCGCCGGGCTCCAGCGACACCTGAGAGGCGGCCCGAACTGGGGCCGAGCCTAGTGGGGCTGGGGGCCGAGCGACCCCGCGGACCGTGGCGAAGGGGCACGTTTTACCCAGAGCGTTCCCGGGTGCCAGCCATCTCCTGAGCGCGCCGCAGAGCGCAGGGCACTTGCCTGCTTCCGCTGCGACCTGGCTCGGGCTCCTGCGCGAGCTCGCGGGCTGCCGCCGCAGCTACCGCCGCCCCTCTAGGCCGCCGCCCGCCTTCGCCTTAGACGCTGCCGCCGCGCAGCAACCGGGATCCCCCAGCCTGTGCGCCCCGCCACGGACAGCAACACAGCCGCAACGCTCCTGCGCCTGGGTCTCTGGAGCCAAACTTAAGAGTTTTCGCCCCCGCAGCCCAAGGGTAGCACCATGACACCAAGGCAGCACCACACTGTCATTTCCGCCGCCGCAGAGGGGAAAAAAAAGACAATCCCTTAGAAAAGGCGGGTGTGATGGGGCAAACAGAGCTGGGTCTGAGGCTCCGACGAAGCATAGGGAAGGTCCACAGCAGCAGGGGCACTCGACCACCTTCCTGGCCTCACCTTCCGCCGCCCCCGCAGCTCCCAGCTCCCTAGCCCCTCCTCTGGAGTCGCGTTTACTTGTTTTCTCCCTGGACAGTAGTGACCAAAGAAACCTGAGCAAGCAAAGGCAGCGGGTGGGTGGGGTTCGGGTTACTACTGTACCTACCAGCTGACTCCAGCAGCCTTTCCTCCAGCGCCCTGTCATCTTGAAGGAAGACACCGAAAGGGGCTGGCCGGGCGCGCGCGCGAGTGTGTGTGTGTGTGTGTGTGTGTGTGTGTGCGCGCGCGCGCGCGCGCGCGAGTGTGTGGGGAGAGGGGAGAGGGGAGAGGGGAGAGGGGAGAGGGGAGAGGGGAGAGGGGAGAGGGGAGTGGGAAGTGGGGAGAGGGGAGAGGGGAGAGGGGAGACAGGCCGGGCAAAGAATGTGTGTGAAATACAGAAAGCAGACTTTGGCGAAACTCTTCTCCCACCCGTCACCCCCCTGGACACACAAACTCCCTGGTTAGAACAACAAAAAGGCCATTGCAACCGGCAATTAGGTAAGAGCCTAGATCCACAGCACAGGTCCTCCGATGAATCTGCTCTATGCAAAGTTAACTACAGAGTAAAACAAAAATAGTGGAGGAGACAGAAAAAGGCAGACAATTGAAGGAAACCCAACCCCTCTTTCCTATTACAAAGGGTGAATGGCTGTGTTTTATTGGCCTTAGTAAAAAGCCGTGGGATGGACTAAAGCCACCAAAATTTTCAAAACAACAGCAACAACAAAAATAATGTAAAGTTTTATTTGCACATTCAAATCTTTTATGGGCACAACAAGAGGGTCCTTACTAAGAGGACAAAATAAAAAAGATGCCAGCTATCCAGTTATTCAATGTCCCTAGTAAGCTAATTGGTTCATCTGGAACCTAGAAGCCTCACTAGTCTGAAATCAGCCTCTTGGCTGACCTGTCGTTGGCTCAGAGACCACGCCCCTCTCACAAGGAGGATTCCAGAGCAGAGAGGAGGTATAGGGTAGTTTCTGTTCCAAACATGCGGTAAAGGAAAGATGAAAGGGAAAGAAGTTAAAAAATGGGACAAAACACCCCCCCACACACACACATATAGGCTTTCCGTTACTATGCATGCGAACAAGTCCAGAAAAATTAAAGTAACTCTGGGCGTATCCCAGTAGGGAACTAATAGTAATTAGGCAATACCCCTGTTAAACAATGTGCTAGAGAACATTGGGATGGAAACCCAAAAGAAAAAAAATCACAACCAGGTCATCCTGATGAAAGTCTGGCCCTAAGAGAAGTAAAAGTTAATGAGGCACACCAAAAGCACAGGCAAGGAAAACAAAAATAGAAAAGTGAGACTACATTAAACTTAAAAACTTCAGTGCAGCAAAAGAATCAACAGACTAAAAAGACAAGAATGAAGAGGAAATATTTGCAAATCATATATCTGATAAGGGGTTAATATCTGGAATATATAAAGAACTACAACCCAATAACAAAATGATAAATAACCAAATAAAAATGGGCAAAGAGGCCTTGGCCAGGTAGCTCTGTTGCTTGGAGCATCCACCAGGACACCAAAAGGTTGCTGAGTTTGATTCCCAGTTTGGACACATACCTAGGTTTCAGTTTCAATCCTAGGTCAGCGTGCATATGGCAGGCAACTGATCAATATTTCTCTCTCTCTCTCTCTCCTTCCCCGGCTAACTCCCCACCCCTTTCCCTAAAATCAATACATATATCCTCAGGTGAGGATTTAAAAAAATAGGGAAAGGAGTTGGATAGACATTTCTCCAAAGAAGATATAGATATTCAAATGGCCAATAAGCCTATGAAAAAATGTTCAACATCACTGATTATCAGGGAAATGCAGTTCAAAACCATAATCAGATATCACCTCACACCTGTCAGAATAACCATTATTAAGAAATGAAACAAAGCAGAAAGAAAATGTGTTGGCAAGGATGTGAAAAATCGGAGCCCTTGTACACTGTCAGTGGAAATATAAAATGGTGCAACCACTATGGAAAAAGCTCAGAAGTCTGCAGTTTTCTCAAAAAATTACAAATAGGACTAACATATGATTCAGCAGTCTCAATTCTGGAAATATATTTAAAATTGAAAGCAGACCCTCAAATAGATATTTGCACCCCCATATTCATTGCAACATTAATCACAATGGCCAAGAGTGAGAAGCAACCTAAGTGTCAACTGACAGATGAGTAAATAAAGAAAATGTGGCAATACATACAGTGGAATGTGGCATATACATTCAGCCTTAGAAAAGGAGATCCTGCCATATGCTATGACATGGATGAATCTTGAGGATAATATGCTAAGTGAAATAAGCCAGTCACAGAATTATAAATACTGCATGATCCCACTTATAGGATGTATCTAAAGTAGCCAAACTCATAAAAACAGAAAGTAGAATGGAGGTTGCCTGGGGCTCAGGGGATGGGAGACGTGGAATACAGTTTCAGTCATGCAGGATTGGGGGGGTCCTGGGGAATCTGTTACACATCAATGTGCATTTGGTTGACAATATTGTACTGTACAGTTTAAATTGTTGGGAGGGTAAGTTTTATGTTATGTGTTTTTTGCAAAAATAAAAATTAATTAATTTTTAAAAAGTTAATTGGAGAGAAGTAAGCTGACCCTAGCATAAGAGAGTAGATAAATAAGAATTATACATATGTGCATTTTATATATATACATTATATACATATTGTATATTCATTATTTACATATACATATCAGATATTGTTAAATGAAAAAAGAAACCTGTGTATGGTTGGTTACTACTCTGTAAAAAAAAAGGAGGGATGGAGTCTTTCCTCAGGCGTCTCTAGCTCACTCTCCCCCGCCTTTGCCTGAGACCAGGGTATAACTCAACAAAGATAATATCCAAGCCCATCGTCTTCCAGCGCATCTAAATCCTTACTTCTTCAGGATAAACATCACACATGGAATAAAGCAAGAAATACCAAAATCAGAGGCTATGGAAAGGGAAGGGGTGGCAAGATCCCGAAGACAAAATTTGGGCTCCACACTTTTGCCCTGGGCTAGTGTTGGCCCCAAGATGGACCCCAGGTCAGTGGGTTTGAAGGTGATGGCCCATGACACTGCAGCCACAGTGTACACAGTTAAGAAGGTATTAGGAAAGAAGTCTCCCCTCAAAGGCAAATCCAACACTTAGCCCAACCTGGAGTTCTCATAAGGAGTCGCATAGCCCCTCCTTGGAGTTACAGTATCCAGAATCCCATGACTGAAGTACAGAATGGTGACCAAAGGCTTTGAGAAGGAAGCAATTCTCCCACTTATAGTCAGAAGGGGATGGACTGATTAGATGGCCATATTTGGTCTTGAAATAGTTAGACTAAGGTTTGAATATTTTCTAACCTGCTTGTGTGACCCATGTAAAGAATGATGATGCCTGTGTAATAGGGTTGCTGTGTGAATTAACCTGCTTTGATATTATCAATGGAACTCATTAATGTTTTACCTGGGGGTAGACTTTACTTAAGAAAGCCAACAGCTTGGTCTGAAGGAATAGGTTGCAGCATATTTAAGGATTGGGGACTGGGCAGGGTGGGGGACAGGAGCTGAAGCCCCTGGCTGGAGAGGTGGTGCGTTAAAAGCATTAATCCAGAAAGACACCTGGAAGCTGACGTAGATTTCATAGCCAAAATGGGAGGCCACTCTGTGCAGGCCAGTTCTCTGAAAGCCAACTTGTGAAGGAGAGATTCTGGAATGACCGTTGCCCAGTTTATCTACTCACAACCACCTTGTTTTAAGGAGAAAAAAAAAAAATTCATGCTGATGATAATCAATGAATTTTAACATATTCCTCTTGTGCATGTGAACAAAATTCTGGTGTTTTACATGGGAAATTTTTAGGTTTTACTTATTTCTTTCTAATCTTTTGTGTAATCATTTCCTGTTTTGCAAATATTTTCAGATTTGAAGGACCATTTCTACAATTTTATAAAATCTCTAGCAATAGATTTGGACTGTTCTCAATAGCCTTGGCAATTTCAAAAAAAAAAAAAAAAGAAAGGATAGCATATGTCCATTTATGCTTTTTTATACAAAGACTCTTTAGTAAAGATACCCAGGAACCTGATTACACTGGTTGCCTGGGGTTTAAGCATAGGAGGCAAAAGTATTTGACATTGTATATGCCCTTCCTATTGTTAGAATTTTTAAATAAAATCTGCGTATTACCTTTTCAAAAACAAGTTTAAAAGAAGGGACAGCATAGAGACAAGGTAGAATAGATGTTACCAGGGACTGATGGGAAGAGATAGTGGGGACTTAGTGTTTAATGGGTACAGAATTTCTATTTGGAATGTTGAAAAAGTTCTGGAAATAGAGGGGATGGTCACACAACATTGTGAATGTACTTAAAGCCACTAACTGTAAACTCAAAAATGGTTAAAATGGTAAATTTTATGTTAGGGAAGATCCCACCCTCATCCATGGTTTAGCTTTCCATGGTTTCAGCTACCTGAGGTCAATCACAGTCTGAAAATATTAAATGGAAAATTTCACCTCACTTCATGTCATCACATAAGAATTGTGTCTTCTCACATCATCACAAGAAGTACAATAAAACATTTTGAGAGAGAGAGACCACGCTCACATAATTTTTATTACAGTATATTATTACAATTGTTCTACTTTATTACTGGCTATTGTTAATTTTTACTGTGCCTAATTTATACACCAGGCTTTATCATAGGTATGTATGTATAGGAAAAAACACAGTATATATAAGAATCAGTCATATCTGTAGTTTCAGACCTCCTGGAACATATCCCCTGTGGATAAGGTGGGGGACTACTATACCTATATTTTTCCACAATAAAACAAATTTTAAGAAAATAAAAGAACAAGAACATATGCATAATAGATATTTTGGTATTTGTATAAGATGTTAGACATTTGTATATGCCAGTAATGCACAGAAAAGAATCGGGGCGGGGGGCACACGGTAAATAGTGAGCCTAAAATTGTCGTAGGAGTTGAGGGGAATCTTTAGGGATTGGTCCTACATATTTTATAACTGTTTGAATATTCTAAAATGAGTATCTCTTTTGTAGTTTAAAAAAGTTTTTAAAGTTATGCTTCAGACCGCCCCCCCATAGTTGAGTCAATTGAACCCTGAGAATTCTTTAACCTTATTTGATATGATCCCTGCAGAGAGCTGGAGAATTTTCTAAAATGCAAAGAAGTGACCATTTTCATCTCAGACATGCTTGAAC